TCCTGCCCCTTCTCTTTCAGTTTTATCAGGGTCTTGAAGCTTGTGTTCCTGGGGAAGGTCAAGTACATTGATTTCTGACAGCAGCCAAGGTCCTCTAAGGGAGGAATCGTGCCTACAGCCCTATGTGGGGATCTTATCTTTAGACCTTAAGGGCCATTGGGACTCTGAGTTAATTGGCCATGGAACCGTCAGGGAACAGACCTGACCACCACTTGAGCTAATGCTGATTAGCTTTTCTCCCATTACATGCCTCCAGTCACAGACGGGAACAGCAGAAACCAGACTCAGGCCCGTGTGCCTTTTCTCCAGAAGATTCCTGACCCCCAAACTCTGAAGATGTACTTTCAACTTCAAGTACGGTCGGCGAATCTGGATGACTTTCTCTGCTGTTTTATTTTGAAAACTTCCAAGCCCATCAGAAAGGCCTAGGACATGTTTGGTGCTCATCATCCATAGGCCTTTAACCGTAAAATCACCCATAGTTAACATTCTGCCACATTTGTTTTTCTTCCTCCTAAATAGTTGAGGGCACCTCGACAGGCATCGCTGCCGGGCTCCACGGTTCATTCCAAACCAAACCCGTGGAGACGCGCCTCTGCTCTGTGCTGCCTCTTGTCTTAGTCCATCCGGGGACCTTCAAGAGGCAAGGTCCACTCATAACAGCAGCTTCCCAGGGCTTCTGCGGGGCCAGTTAACTGCAAGGCAGAGAGGTCAGCTCAGAAGGTTCTGGTGACTGGAGGGGCAGGGGGAGGGTGGGTTTCAAAAAGGTCATCTTAGTGGACTTTCTTGAAGGGCACAGACATCACGGGGGCTGATGACAAAGTTTTTGGGGTTTTTAAAATCATGTTATTGGGGGCTTGTACAGCTCTTATATAGCCATATAGCCATCCATTGTGTCAAGCACATTTGTACATTTGTTGCATCATCATTCTCAAGGCATTTTCTACTTGAACCCTGGGTATCAGCTCCCCATTTTTCCCCCTCCCTCCCCCCCATGAACCTTTGATAATTTATAAATTATTATTTTTTCATGGATGACAACGTTTTTAATTGTTTTGTTTTTAATTTTTTTAAAATTATTTTTAAAATCATTTTATTGGGGGCTCATGCAACGCTTATCACAATCCATCCATCCATCCATTGTGTCAAGTACATTTGTACATTTGCTGCCATCGTCATTCTCAAAACATTTTCTTTCTACTTGAGCCCTTGGTATCAGCTCCTCATTTTTTCCCCTCCCTCCTCACCCCTCCCTCATGAACACTTGATAATTTATATATATTTTTTCATGTCTTACACTGACCGATGCCTCCCTTCACCCACTTTTCTGTTGTCCATC